TAAAAAGTAAAATATATTTTTTAAAATTTTAAACTTAAATAACAAAATATATTAGTTTATATATATATATATTTAATTAATTTTAATAAATTACAAAGTTTTTTACAACTTTCATTAAAAATTTAAATAAATTACTTAATAAAATTTTTTAAAAGATTCTATTAAAACTTGAATAAACTCTATGTATTACTAAAAATAGTAATTTACAATTTACAGCTTATAAGAGTTAACAATATTTTTACAATATAAATAGTAATATTATTTAATAATAATAAAAGTTTATTATTTTTTATATAATAATACTTTTAAGTTATAAAATTTATTAATATTTTACAAGATATGAGATTTTAAAAAGTATACTATATGTAGTACACCAAAATTTTAAAAAATAAATTTTATTAAAAAATTTTTTTTTCAATAATTTAATTATTAATTTTAAAAAAATTAAATAAAAAAAATTAGTAGATTAAATAGATTTTTTTATAAAATTTTTTTTGTAATTTATAATATTTAAATTTTTTATGAGTTTTAATAAATATACTACCAGTAGTACAGAGGGCGAGCTCCTATCCATTAAATATCAGAAACCTGATAGCTTTTATAATTTTACTGATAGCTCTATCAGTTCAGATGTGAACCTAGAATGACATGATTCGAACTATTAATCAGTGTCATATCAGGACTAAAAAGCTATGATATGTACTTGCCTAATATGCTTTATTTTGACAAGTGTCCATTACTGGTACAGTGTCACTTATTCTTCAAAGAAAAGACTGCAATATATATAGTTCTAAATGCTATGTCTATTTTTTTTTTTTCAGATACTATCAGATTTCTTAAATGAACACTCAATAAATACATTCCCTTATACAGGTCGAATAAAGACAAATTGGGCACCAATTGGCATTACATAATCCTGATGTGAAGCTAATTTGAAACAGATATTTGGCACAAACAGAAGACCTTTAATATACAAATCAGGTTCATATAGACATTCAATACATATTGGAATGCCGATAGCTCTATAAGTAAATCGATAAAGCTTGCTTTATAGATTTTTCGATTTATCTATATAGCTATCGGCATTTCAATATGTATTGAACGCCTATATGAACCTGATTTGTATCTTAAAGGTCTCCTATTTGCACTAAATATCTGTTTCAAATTAGTTTCACATCGGGATTATGTAATGCCAATTGGTGCCCGATTTGCCTTCATTCAACTTGTGCTATCAATATGCACCTTGTGTCTTGACTAAAAAAACAGAACCCTTAAATATAGTGTTCACTTATGATAGATTCCTGAAGAGAAGAATTTTGACTTTCTTTCAATTTAATTATTAAGAACTCTGACAAATTAGTGATTTTAAGCATGCACAATTAGTAAATCTGTATCAATAATCATATTAGTACAATTGTTAAAAGTTTATTTATAATAATCTAGAAGATATTATGGCTTAATATTAAGCTGAACTAACTAAAGCTTATATTGCAACTAGTTATAGTAATAATTGCAACGACTACTGAATCAATATTTATAGCCCTAAAAATCCTTATTTATTTTAAAATCTCATTATTATCGATTATCAAAAATTTGATATGAAAATAATAATTGTTTGCAAAAATGACTACTACTACTAAAGACAGAGAATTTCGAAAGTTAGTATTTCAGTATTTATTATAAAGTTATGATGAATAAAATTCTATTAATCTCAATTGTCATCCAATTATAGAAAGCCTTCTATGGTTCATAATATAATTAGTAAAGATCCGGATGCGATTTTTACTCCTGAAAAGTTAGTTTATTGCTCTAGCATTTTAGCTAAGTATAGCTTATTATTTAAGTTGTTATTTTTTTGTTGTATTTGCACTATATAGGGATCACTATTATTTGTATATTGCTTGGGGTTGTCCATGGGTAAGTATGTTTATATTTATCCCAATATTTTATGAATTATCTTTCAATTAATTTTTTTCTATTATCATCCTCTACTAACAGGCTCATAGAACTGTTATTACACGAGCATTGAAAGAGCTTGAAGACATTATTGGATTGAGCGTTGTTGATTACCTTATGGATGAGAAAGGATGGAAATTTAGCACTCTTGAAGAAACTCCTAGGTGTATTCCAGATACTGTAAATAATGCTTAGTATATTAGAGAATTATATTTCAAAGCTAATCCTAATTATGATGGAAGGTTTGAATCCAAAATTTGTTTATATATTTATATATATTTAATACAATTTTATTAATAAAGATCTACTTTAGATTTACAGTGCCTGTCCTTTGGGATAAAAAATTGCAAACAATTGATAAATATCGAAATTATTATAATTAGATCAAGTTCATTATAAATAACTCAATCTTTGCTATTATAGTCAACAATGAATCGAGCAAGATAATCTGCATTTTTAATGATGCGTTCAATGATCTCGTTCCAGGAGCAAAAAGCAAAAATTTATATCCAAAACATCTTGCAAGTGAAATTGACAAAATAAATGATTAGATTTTTGATAAAATTAACTCTAGCCCTTTTAAATGTGGATTTGCTGAAACTCAAGATACTTGTACGTACACATTATATATATATATATTAATTCTTAAAATTAATTGGTTTCATTTTCTATCAACAGATATAAGCCATATTGGACCTCTGTTCAAAGCTCTGGATAATGTGGAAGCCATTCTTTCCCAAAATAAGTTCCTTGTTAGAAACACTTTAACTAAAGCTGACATTAGGCTTTTTGTTGACATTGTTAGTTAATATATATTTTAAAATTTTTATCATTTTTATTATTAACTAATTAAGAGAAATTTGATAGTTACATATCACAAATATATTAAAAAATTATGTAGATTTGATTCAGTTTATCATATACTTTGTAAAACAAATTTGAAAACTATTAAACATGACTATCCAAATATACTTCGCTGAGCTAGACAAATTTATAAAATTTCTAAAAGTAAATCATTATGTTTTTATTTCATAAAATTAATTAATATTAAGATACACTATTAATCAATTTTAACATTCTTTAAGTTGCTGATACTGTCAATATGACTCACATTAAAAATAGTGCTTACAAAAACAAGAAGGAAATTAATCCATATAGAATTGTCCCTGTTTACGATAGACCTGGTACATAAACTTTTTCATAAGATACTCATATAATGAATTAATGAATTATATTTCTAATAAGGTTTTTTTTTTCAGATCTTAGTTTATAAGTATGGCTTTAACTTTTGTTTTACTAGCCTATAAGTTAGCTTAATTTTTTGTAAACCATAACTGAATTAAAATTTTCCTTGAACAAAGTTCTAAATTTAAAATTAAAAGCTTTTACTTCTTTTATTTCATTAAATAGTAGCAAGATTATATTGGAAAATCTATTTCAATTACAAATTGGATGCAAAACTTTGACATGCCAATTAGAATATGTAGAGCTATAAATAGTAATATATAGTTTCTATTACATCTTTTTTCAAATCCTTCGATTTAGTTGGATTGATGATCTGCATAATTTTTTTTATAATTACTGTACTATTTTTTATTTTATAATTATTAAAGTAGTTGCAAAGTCTATTTTAATACACATATAATTTCAAATAATTAAAAATATATGTTATATTCAGCTAATAGAGTTATTTTATATATATAAATTTTAAAAATATTAATTTATAGTATGCAAAAAAAATAAGTTTTTTAATTTCTTGGCTTTTTTGTTGACCATTTTATTTTTAATTTATTCGCAGCTCTTTCAATGAAATTTGTTATTAATTGGGACATTACACAATCATTGCGTTTAAGTGATCTTTATTAACGATTTTATTAAAACTTATGTGTGAAATGTGAGTTTAAAATTTATCCTAGCCAGAGCAACTCTATGAAAAAGATAGTTTACCTCTCTCTTTTTTTTCCATTAAAATAATTCACTTTTCCAATTTATTCAATTATCAACTTCAGCATTTTCAAGCATAGAGATTAGAATCGGTTTAGTCAACTACTATGTTTAGTCGACTAATTAGTCAACTAAACATAGTAGCTTACTATAAAAATTTTTTAGTCAACTAAACCGA